AAAAAAAAAAAAAAAAAATCAGAAAATTGTGTTTTTTTTTTATTTTTTAGTGGAGAGATCATGTTGTGGTTATAACCAATTCTTATTACCTTCCATGTCTTGATTCTGGCACCATTTGTAGTTCCTCTGAAGCTGCAATTCCGAACGTGCACTTCTTCCACTGTGTGATTGCCTCCACCAATTCCTAAACTTCCAATGCTATACAGCTCATGCAGTGACGAGTGCAGAGAATTCGAAGCCATTAGATAATAATTGAACTCAGATATTTTTTCCAGCAAAAAAATAATAATAATAATAATTGAACTCAATATACAGAGATACTACTTGTGAGACCATATTGGTCAAGCTTTTTTTTTTTTTTTTTTGGGAAAAATGTATCGCACTGTCATTTATAATTTATTGGAACCATAGGTGTGAAATGAACATGATTTATGCTTTTCATTAATTAGTATTCACATAGTTTAAAGTTACATACGCCTAAATTGTGTTCGGCAAGATCGATAAGAGGCATAATTTCAGTCTCTATGCAGACAATTGATTAAGAATAAACGGGTACTAATGACAATAAGTTGCATGTGTTCAAAATTATCTTAATTTTTTTAAAAAAATTTGTTTAAAAATGTAATTAACTTATACATGTACACATATAAATGTTATACCTAATTCCATGACCTGGACCACATGTTACATGAGTTATGTTGATGTAGGACGAGCCACTCTTAATAGAAATACAGTCGTCACCTGTAGAGTAAATGTTTGTTAATTAATATAACTGCTAATGTTAACAATGAATGTTGTATTTTCAAGTAACTATTGAATGGAAAAAAAAAAAAAGAAAAAGAAAAAAGAATACCAGTTCCGATAAAAGATTCAGATATGCCAATTTGGGAAGAACCAGAGATGACAATGCCATCAGTGTTTGGACTGGTGCTAGGTGCGCGTATATGAAGGTGGTCAACAAACACATTACGGCAGCTCTGAAAGACAATGTGTTTGTTTGGGCTGTTTACTGAAGTGAATCCCTTCAGTTGAAGATTGTCACAACGGTAGAATCGTAGACCCTGCCACATACATTATTTTTCAATATTCACGTTAATATCAACGTATAAGGTCGAGTTCAATTCGGCTATCGTATGCACCGATCATATTTTTACACCTCATTTTATTGCTTAAACATCTTTAGTGTTTAGTAAATTTAATTGACATGATGTGTTTTTATCATAGAGACCGTCAATGCGATAACAAATTAGAGATCGTATAAACACTATAATTTAATTATGTCATTCTCTATTGTGATAAAACTTCAAAGGCATTCCGATATATATCGTTAGTTTTGTGAACGAAAATTATTGCCATGTAGTAGAGGAGTTCTTATCATATTAAATATAATGACAATTATAGAAACTTCCACTACTTACCGTAGGTGCTTTGCAGCCTGGATAAGTTGCCTGCACGGGGAAAATAAAAAGATCTTAGTAATTTTTTCTTGAAGGAAAAGTACTAATCTAATTAAATCATTAATGGCAAAAATTATGTGTTAGTTGCACATTTTTTACCTTTCTCCACCACATTGAGCCGCGACCGTCAAATGTTCCTGTTCCACTAATGACTAGATTGTTCACTTGTACGAAATGCAGCCATCTTCCATATTGGCACCCTGCTTTCCATCCAGCAAGAGTTTGTGGTGCCACAATGTTCCCGTCGATCTAGCCACCCAAAAAAATAATAATAATAAAAGGAGTACTAAATTAATTAATCAAGATAGAATAATCACAAGCAGCAAAAAAAATAAACAAATAATAAAATAAGAGATGCAGTTATCCCAAAATCCTTTAACCCTTGCCTATGAGATGTTATACAAAATCCTCAATTTCCCCAAAAAAAAAAAAAAAAAAAAAAAAAAGAACTATGGTAACAAAGAATTTGTCACCAAGGATATGAAACTCAAATCTCTGTTGCAAGAAATGAACAAACAAGGATTTATGTTGTTCGGTGTTACCACCTACATGAAAAAGCACCAGCAGTATTTCTTTCTTCCTTTTCATCTGTCATGAGGCCCTTCCTCATTGATCTCTTTCTTATGATTTACAGACAAATATCAAAGAAAATCTTACAATTACAAGTCAGCTCTAAGAAACTGGAGGTGCGGTGCTTAGTTTAGAAGTGAATGCCATGATTTCTATCTCTCACCGCCTATTTACACATTATCTTAGATTTTCTGTTCAATTTTTGTGTCTCAAAGGTGTCTAATAAACCATAGAATGCCACATCATTTAAATAATTTGAAAAAAATTTAAAACGCTTTTTGACTAATCTTTTAATGCTTTAATGTTTGAGTCTATTTAATGACATTGATAAAATATGAATGGTGAAGACACCATTTGAGACACCAAATTAATCCGTACGAACACATTGGCTAATCAGACTTTCAATTTTCCCTCTACTAATTCTATTAGTGCTAACGACCTAATTGCCAAATCAGCTTACTAAAAAAGACGACAATATTATAACCAAAACGACAATCAACTTTATGACAGGAAAAATAGTGCGGAAATGACAAATGAAAAAAAAAAAAAAAATCGCGCATCATGATAGGGAAAAACACCTCTCTAGATATCTTCATAAATATTTACCTGAATTCGAATGCTGTCGGACTTACAAGGGCCGTTGAATGTAAGAGGGTTGAGCAAATATGTCTGCCCCTTTGGGACTCGAATAATTGGTGTGCCTTTGTTCGTTCCACACGCAGAGTTCCAAGCCTTTAAGAATGCCTTTTTTTAACATATACGTACGTGCAGAATTTAACAAGTATTAGTAATCGGTAATTTGTGTCACATATTTTACTCGATAATTCCCATGCACATAAACAAATAAATAAATAAAATTATTACATTTTTGGACATAAGTATGTTAAAGTAAACATTTTATGTAATTATTTCAAAAAAAAAAAAAAAAACGGTCGTGCTGAAAAACTACTTGGGAGTCATCGTTTTGGCCATTCCCTGTGGCACCAAAATCTTGCACGTTGTAAATGTCTTGGCTATATCCAATGCCTAAACAACATGAGTAAGCAATGACAATAAACCCAAGAAAGAAGCTTCTCACGTCCTGCATGCAGAAGAATTTGACAATAATAGTGTTATAGTATATACATACAATATACATACAATGTTCATAGGAATGAAAATCAAAAGAATACAAGGTCAGTAGAAATAGTGAAAGGGCCGTATATAGATTTCTCACCATTGGTGTAAACCAGATCAGAACCAACAGCAAAAAGAGTTATGATTTGTAAGGGATTGTTATATGGAATTGGATGGCCTCCTCTCTTCCATTTCCTGTACATATACAAGTGGTGTTTAACTAAGGTTGATTTTTTTTCTTTTTCAGTTGTCTTTCATTTTTATTTTATGGTCATAAAGATCCGTTTTGATCACAGTATCTATAAAACTGGCCTGAACTTCTTTCTAGTGAGAATGACTTAGATATCTATGTCAAATCCGGATTAGTTTCCATTTTTCTATTTTGCGCACTTGGTATTAATATGTGGACTCAATAGCAAGAGAAAACCAGGTTCCTACTTTTTTTAGTTGCAATATACATTAAGACCACCATAAAACTGTGGGTGTAAAGGTTTTGTCCGATGAATCTCTAGGAATTAAGAGCAACTTATATTAGATTGTCTCAGTCACTTATAAATGCATCAGATTACATGCTTTTACGATCTTTCATAAGGAGATGTATCATATAGAAAGAAATATTTGGATGGGATTACAGTTTGTGAGAAGTCAACTAGAACGAAGCTTCTACAAAAGCAATAAAATTTATAAGGCAGATATAGGTGTGATCCTTGAATTAAATGAGGTCATAATCGTGGCACGCTTATTACTAAAGCCGCCTTAGATTTCATTAAGCAACAATATCGAAGGAACTAACATTAGCAAGACCGCGATAATTCAAAATGTTGAAGAAACCAACATTAACACCTACACGTCGCATACTGGGTTTTGATCACGGCAGAGAGCTCTCTCTCTCTCTCTCTCTCTCTCTCTCTCTATTTTCTTTTCTTTTTTTTTTATTAGCAAAGGGAAAGTTATAGATGTTTACAACTCCTTCAGTAATGCTTCAATTCCGTCTCTTTATTCCACAAGTAGACCAAAGTCAATTGCTGACTTGATTAATTGCAAAGGTGAACAACCAAACCATAAAAAAATATAATTGAAAAGGCAATAGAATAAGAGAAATTAAGATAATTGTTTCTCTTTCAAGTATTTAATTGATTATTAGATATGTAATAGCAAACAATCGCATTCTTTCTAGTGTTTACTAAAATTTGGAATAGTAATAATTATCAATAAATCACTAAAAGATCTTTTTACACAATTAAATAAATTATATAGTTATTAAGGGTAGATAAATAAATATGAATTTATTCTCTTTAACATAGAATCAATATCAAGAGGGCAAGAATTAACATTTCCTTTTCTCATTTCCTATATTATATAGAGCCCACTAATACTTATTATGATTTTATAAATAAATACATTATTGGATGAGAAAGAAAATCATCACTTTTCCTTTCTCTTTGATACGAATAACACACTCACAATTTTTTTTTTTTAAATCAAGCCATTAATTGGTTATTACTAATTAAGCCTTTTTTTTTTTTAAATGTCACCAAATCAAGGCGCCAAAAGAAAAGGAATCGGCATGATTAAACAATTTAAGAATGATAATGATACATTGATGCTTATGTGAACTGTTGTATTCAATTATAGAACTTTTGAGCATAAATAAGAAATAATCACTTCCGCCCAATTTGATGAGTGCATTAAGAGATGCATTGCCATTGAGGCAAAACTGAAGTTCCATACAAAACTGCTCGGACAGAAATACAAAAGTCGTAGCAACTGATCAACGCTTGACCCATTGGAAGCTCTTTCTTGCTTTCGCTTTGCCTGGTTTTTTCCTTTCAACCATACGTGGGTCCCTCGTCAAGAAACCAGCTGTTAAGAGAATGAATTGGTTTAGAGAATGCTCAAGCAAAAACACATTCAAAAATAGAATACACATATTTCCCTAGTCCCTACGGAGTGCAGAACAATCAACTTTTCAACCGTAAAACAAGGCGTCTTCAATTTCTATTTGTTTCAAGCCTCATTGAATTCCTAATGTCCTCTTATTAAATCTCAATTCAATCTAACCATAAAGAATCGAAATCAAACTAAATCTCAGGATGTTTGTTTTCTATATTCATTCCTGATTCTGAATCATAATTCATGATTCTCTACAGTGTTTTTCTCTCACAAAAAACACACGTAAAACGAGTGGTTCTGAATCATAATTCTAAATCCACGAATCAAACGTCCACTTCAATACCCCTTTTTTTCTAGGTAACACGCAACGCAGGCTGATAACATATCAGACAGGGGCCACGAATATACCTGCTCTTAGTGGAGGACGGAGGTCTGGTTCCCAGTTTTGCAAAGCCCTGCTGATCCCTAAAAGAATTGCTCCAACTTGACCTGGAATTAAACGTGATGATTTTTTTCATCTTCAAAAAAAGGAGGGGCAAGAGCCTTTCAGGACAACTTAAAACTCATACAATTTAATCAGCACTGGATTCACAAACGGGAACAAAACACAAACACACAAGGGCGCCCGTTACATTAACAATTGGATCTAATCTGAAGCCTACAAGCCAAACTAACATGTAAGCAAGTTCTTCCCAACTTGGCTTTCCTGACTAAGTAATTATTCACTGGATCGGGTGTACCACGTTATTTTGCTTATGTGGTTTTGCTTATGTGGTACATCCATCTAATGAAGAGATAACTTTTGACATTTTGTTTATATCAACTTTTTATAGTTGTGTTTTTCTTTCTTAATGTGCATTGCATTAATTGTTGAGTTAAAACCACCAAAATTAAGCTACTTAATTCTCTTATACTAATTAATTAATTTTAAATAAATATATTTTTTTGTTTCTAAAATAGTATTATTCGTTTTGCCTTTTAAAAAAAATATATTCATTTTGCTTTTTACTACGACTCTTGCTATATCGTATATGTATCAGCACTGCAAGGGTTAATATCTTTAAAGTTTACAAGAAAATTTAAAAACAACGCTTGAAGTTTGTATACTTTTTTTTTTTTTTTAATCGGTAAGCACCCTTTGAGGTTGGGGGGCCGCAGCTTAGTGAGAGCCCAAGGAGGAGCCCACAACGACTCCATCCAACCCCTCGGGGTTTGAAGTTCGTATACTATCCACCTTTGAAGTATGTAAAGATTGGAGTCTGAAAGTATCCATGCTGAACTTTAATGCAACCAATGAAAAATTTATTCCTATTTCTTTTGTTTGTACATCCTCTAATTTCTCATAACACATAATGTGCAAACAGGAAAAAATGAAAATGTAAATCACATATAATAATTTAGCAAGCGTAGTTTTTAACTTTTATGGTAAAACTTGCAGCCGATACATAGAAGACGTATAATATCCTCTACATGATGGAATAGCAAAAGTCGTATTAAAAATCAAAACGTATAATACTATTTTAAAAATAAAAATTAATTATTAAAAATTAATTAATTAGAATAAGAGAGTTTAACAGAATAATTAGGGTCATTTTGACTCAATAATTAATGCAATGTACGTTAAGAAAAAAAACACAAATATAAAAACCGATATAAATAAAATGTCCAAATGTTATCTCTTCATTGGACGGGTGTACTACATGAGCAAAATAGCGTGGTACGCTCCATAATGGGGGAAAGGAGACAAATGCCCCTTAAGTGCATGGGTCATGATTTTTACCCTACTCTTGATTAATAATCTTTTTAGTCAAATAATTATACTAGCAAAAGGACATTAATTAAGAATGAGGGGTAAAAATCCATACTCATGCACTCGCAAGGATAAATTCTGCAATTTTCTCTCGATTATAATGGCATAATGAGAGGCCCCCAAAGGACCCAAACCAGTCAAAAAATAGCCTGACCAAGAAATGATGCCAATCTTTTGCTCCCTAATTGCAGAGCTTAGGTCTCTCTTCTCATAGGTAAAATCATATTTGCTAATGGGAGAAGGTAATTAAGCAAGTGAACCATGGTAGAGTTAAGAGCTGAACTACAAGCAGATAGACTTACCTGTGGTACCACCTCCTTTAACAGTACAATTGACGTCCCAAAGCCCCAATGTTTTTGTATCAGAGAAAGGCCGAAGCAGAGCAGCACGGTGATCGAGTATCGGAAAATATACATCAAAATCTTTATCGTTAATTATGAATTTTCCATCACCAGGTTGAATCCAGACGCGGGCTACACTGCATTTCCTTCTTCCTGTCGCATAAGCTCTTCCCTTATCATCCACTTTTCTCACCCTAGCTTTGGCAAATTCCTCCTCCTTCTGGCGCTCTATCTCCGCTCGTTGAGATTTCCTCAAACTTTTCTCGTACCGTAATTCCTCTATTTCAGCTAAAGGGGGCAACCCGGCCACTCCTTCCAAGTCCTTCAGCGCAATCAGGCTATCAATCATTTCATCCGTGATCCCGGATGAAGCAATAAGATCGCCAAATGCTCGATTCGGACCTAATATTAGCACGTCAAATCAGTACGACAGTCTACTTAATCATTGATCACTAGAAAGTTCTCACATTGAATATAAGAGACTTTAACTAATACCCATCAATAACATAATTGATTCAATTACATATATGAACCTTTAATTTCAGAAAATAATACTTGAAGAAAAATAAAATCAATAAAAAGTCTTCTCATGTCTCATTTCCAATGCTTTCAGCTAACGTCCGCCAACTCACAAGACGATTGTTGGAAAACAAAATTCACAGACACAAGACAAAAGATAATAACTTTTGTTCTTTCATAGCATGTAAAGGTTTAATCGTCATCGTCCAATATCCAATATACTTGAAAAAAAAAATGGAAATTAAATCTGGGAATTAACCTTTGAGTATGGCAGTGAGCACTTGTTCCTCTTTCTCAAGCCTCTTCGCCTCCTCGGCTTTGGCAATCTCATTCTCTCTTTGCTTTTCCAAACTACTAGCCTCACTCTCACCATCATCTCTCGCAACTTCCCCAATATCAAACAGGTCGCTTCTCTCCTCCTCCGCTAAATTCCAGGGCTTGTATCCCTCCGCCGTCGGCCACTCATCGCCGCCGTCGAGCCTCGTCATCGTAGCGGCATTTCCAGAGTTTTCGGCGCCGAAGAAAGGTTCGAAGTTGCCGTCGGTATCCTGAGAAAGGTTCCAGACGCCGCCGTCGGATTGATTTCTGCCATTTTCGCCGTCGTTGCTTCCGCGATCGGAGGAGAAGAATCTCGGGGCGAAAGAGGAAGTGAAAGTTGGAGTTTTGGAAACGAATTGGGATTGAGGTTGGGGATAAGAGTGGAGCTTTGAGGAAATTAGGGTTAGGGCACGGAAATGGGAGGGTTTGGGCAGAAGACGGGAGAGCATGGTGGTGTTGGTGGTGGTGAAGCACAGGATCAGAAATTGAAATGCCCAACTTCCTCGGCCTGTAAAACCCTTGCGGCGTTCTTTAGCAAAACCTTTCTTTAGAAAACGACATATCGTTTAAGATTAATTTCAAAAATTCTCTCTCAACTAGGACCTGATATCACTTTGCGATACCATTCGTTTCCTTCCGTTAATAAGTTTTCTTTTCTATTAAGTGACAAAATTATCACGTCTCATTTATTTAATAAAAATTAAAAATATAATTATATTTATATCCTCATAATTAATTAATTTTTTATTTTTATTAAAAAAATTCACTATATTTTCTTTAGCCATCATCTTCACTTTCTCTTTCCCCCTCTACCACTTTTTATAGGGTTCTTTTCTTCTTTACCCTCCATTCTACTTCTTCTCTCTTCCATAAACTCTCTCTCTCTCTTTAACATTGTATATTACTCCTTCACTTTCACTCTTCAATGACGGCTTTTGCTTCTTCTTCATTTTCGTCTTCTTCTGGTTATGCAGAGAATTTAATGACGATCATAGCTTCGTCATCGTCTTCATCGCAATTGCCCCCTCCTTCCGACGACCATTTCGAATAAAACTCTTACAATATTTCTGGAGCCTTTCATCTCTGATGATTTTGTATTAGATTCATTGTTCTTCCTTTTTTTCTTGATTTTTATGTTGTTCAAGATTTGAGTTTTCTTTCTTTAACGCTTGAAAGGGTTGTTGCAAGTTAATTTACGATAATACCCTTCGCAGATGAGTCATATACCTGACATATGACGAATTTCGTCACTCATTATAACATAAAGAAAAAACTTATTAACGGAACAAAGTTCGAAAGGAATGAATGTTACTTTTTAAAATTTTAGGGACAAAGTGTTACAATGGTTATAGTTTGATGAGAGTTTTTAAAATTAATCCTATCGTTTATTTTAACTTTTTACGGGTTTTTTTTTTTTTTTTTTTTTTTTTTTTAATAGGGTGTAATAGGGATCTTAAACCTATTTTGATGGTGACAATTTAATCCATTTTTTTTAATTTTTCGTAAAATGACCTCTAAATTTTTTAAATAGGCACAATTAAGACCTTTTCGTTCATTTCTATCAATTTTCTCGCGGAAATTCACACGTGACCCCTCACCAGACATTTTGAGTAGGTGTATAATGGTAAAATTGTATATTTGGGTTGAATTGGGCTAGAGATGCAAGAATGGGCTGGCCCGGCCAATCTCGACTCGTTATCCTTAGGCCCACGCGGGCTGGGCCGGCCCGTATAAGAATGACATCGGCCCAGCCCACACCATGAGCCAATTTTACGCGGGACTGACAGGGTCGTGCCACGGGCCAAGATGGGTCGTGTCATGAGCCTTGAATGGGTTACCCACTCGAGGTCCATCTTGGCCCATCATGGGTTTAGATAGGCCAACCCATCTAAGCATACAATTTTTAATCTTTTTATTTTTAAATTTTTAAACAAGTTAACAAATATATAAGTTTGAATAGTCAATGGAAATATGAAAATGGATATTTTATTTACGATTACCTCATTAAATAAAAACCTTTCTAAAAAAAACCTAGTACGACAAAACCTTAATAATGAAAAAAAGTACAATCAGGATAATTATACATAAGATGTTTACAAAATTACTAAAAATAAGAAAAATATGAAGATATTATGGGTCTAGATGAACTGGACTGGACCGGCCTATTATAGGCCTAGACTGACTGGGCTAGGCCGGCCCATCATGAGCCTAGACGGACTGACCCAAGCTCGGCCTGACCTATGATTTTTCATGAGCCGTGCCGGACCGGCCCATAGGCCGATATATGTTGGTTGAGCCAACCCACTAATATTTATAGACTGAGTCGTATATTGAACAGTGACGGGTCGTATCAACCCAACTTGTCACTATGTCGGATGGCCCTGGGCCGGCCACGGACCCCGGCCCCTGTTGCATATCTAAATTGGGCTCATATGTTTGCAAATCATGAAATTAGACGTTGACTCATCTGGGGTTCGTGAGAGTTCATCTTTTTCTCATCTGCGTTGGTGGGTTTTCCCAATTTCCCGTTGTTTTTCCGTCGCGGAAGGTGATGAATTTTCTTTTTTTTACTCCCTTGATTCGTCAATTTCCTCCAATTTTTGAGGGTATACCACATTGATTCGATCAGATGGCGAAAATTGATTGATTTTTTGCTCCTTTTTTTACGAGTTATTTGTCATGAGATTTGACTTTCGTTTTGGGGCATTTGTGCGAAAGATTTCTGGGTTCTGCCTGGTAAAGACGTTGTAAGCACTGTTTTGATCTGATTTCTTCTTCTGGGCAGTGAAATTTGGGACATTTCAAGTATTCTTTATTGGGGAAATTGATGCTGTAATTTAATTGAGTGTGATGGTTTTTCCAATTCTAGTTATTTCTCTGAGGACGTTTGATAGTTTCCCACAGCTAAAGGAAGTTTTTCGCTATCTGGGCATTGGAATTTAAAAAAAAAAAAGAAAAAGAAGTCATCAAATTAGACGAGCAAAGAGAGAAACCCAGACACTGAGATTCAACCACAAAGAGGAACTACCAAAACATCACCAAAATCTCTTCAACCCACAAAAATCAATGCTTAATGGCCTATAAGACCCAACAAGTTCCACTTTTTTCTCGTGAAACACCAAATTGCTCATCAAAGAACCTAAACTTTCCTAAAGAACACAAAGGGATTAACAATCAAGTTGAAAGATACGACGGTTATGGGCGAGGTTACGCTGATCTCGCGACGGCTAGACAGACTCGACGATTGGCGGAACGTGATGCGACGGCCGGGGCGAGGCTGCGATGATCTTGCAATGGCTTGGCGGAGGCTCGACGGAGAGATTTGGCATAACTTCGGACTTGATGGCTGGCGGGTGATTTGGAAGGTTTTTGGGAAAGAATTGAATCTGACCGCAAATGAAAGGAATGCATTTGAGCAACAAGGGTCTTAATTGCACCTCTTTAAAGAGTTTAAGGACCGTTTTGCTAAAATAATAAAATAAAAAAAAATCAAAACTATCACCATTTAAATATGTTAAGGATTATATGTGGGCATTTGAGCAACAAGGGTCTTAATTGCACCTCTTTAAAGAGTTTAAGGACCGTTTTGCTAAAATAATAAAATAAAAAAAAAATCAAAACTATCACCATTTAAATATGTTAAGGATTATATGTGCCAATTATATTTTTTTTGCCACATAAGGGTAGTTTATTATTAAAATAAATATTTAATATTAAATGTATAACATTTTAATTTATGGTCTTAGTTATACATGGGACTTGAAGTTACTCTAAGTATATATTTGTTTTATACCTGAGAGAAAAATACTAGTGTAAAAAAATTGAATTTAAACTTTTATGAATGAAAATACTGTAATAGTAAAACTTAAGTTGAAAAAAATTTATTGTTAAAATTATATGGAAGCTAATATGTTGTATTCAATGTCAATTATTATGTAAGGAGAATGTGATTGTCCCATATTAAATTTTGAAAAACATTTGCAAATTTTAGTGTTAGGGATTAAAATTGTTAAAAGAAATAAAATTTTTTAAAAACAATTTGTTAAAGAAAATCAAAGAGTAAAGTAATACAATACTTGGTAGTTGTAGGTGTAAACCTAACCAAAATTCCTGATTCCATATCTGACTGCACTATATAGTGAGCAGTTTGAATCACTCATCCCAGTTAAAAAAAATATTATTAACATAATACTCATAATTAAAAGTAGTAACAATGTTAATTATCTTTTATTTTGTTTTTAAAAATAAAAACGGATATGAGGGACGAGCTGTCGTTCATGTTAATAAAATGCTAGGTCGTTTTTTGTCACAACGCAATTGTCGTTTAGTGAGATTGCACGACATGTCGTTTATTATCAACAAAAACGACATGTCGTCCAGTAATGTAAAAGATAAATAAAAACTCACAAATGGTAATGAACCAAACGACACCAGAAAACACCCCCCTTCTCTTGATCTCTTCTCTTCCTTCACCTCCCATAAATTAGAAACAGAACGGAGCTTCAGCCGTCGCTTACTCGCTATCGCTGCCAGCTTTAAACCAAATCAAAGAAAACAAGTGACCGGCCATGGCGTTCAACAACGGTCTCAGATCCGTCGCGAAGCAGCTTCTCGCTACCTCCGAATCTTCTCTATTGTCCAAATCAGGTCAATCCTACTTCATATTTCCTTCGCGATTTCTTGTTTACGGCTTTCGGTTCAAAATGCTTTCTTTTTTTTGGTTGCCCTAATGCCATGTTTAGAACAATTTCGATTTTTTGTCCATTTCTATTTTTCCCATTTTACCGAACGATTTTTATTTTTTATTCTTTGGCTAGAGGACTGGATTCGATTGAATTCTTGACTTGCGGTTGAATGAATTTTATTTCGTGATTTTTCCTTAATTTCTGTTGGCATATGGTCAATTTAGGTGGGATTAGGGTTTAGATTTCATTTTGTGTTTTTAGGAGTCATTTGGAGATATTAGGGTTTGGAAAAGGGGTAATTTTATCATGTTTGAATGGGTATTTTGGGGATTAAAATGAGAATAACAAATCGCAGAAATTTTCTAGTGTGTAGCTATCTTTTGGATTTGGAGTTTAATTTTCCGGAGTTTTGGTTATCGGAATATGTACATTGTGGGGTTGTAATAGCGTAATAAGAGGTAGAAGATTGGGATAAAATTGGTCAGAGTTTGAAAATTGGGGCTTTTGGTTGTGAAACAATACCCCTAAAAAATTATCGTATGTAGAAGATGCAAAATTTAGAAGAGAACCTGTGTTTTTATTGTTGATTCTAATTCATAAGAGCTACAAAACTTGTTAACTGATTTGGAAGTAGTATATAGTGCTGTTTACTGTGCTCTGGATTATGGTTAGTTTCGTTTGTTATTATATGTTTTTTGGCATTGGAAACTTGTTACGCAGGGTTTCTGCGCTGTTTGGGGAGCAACTTTTTTTTTTTTACTTTTTGATTGAATGTTTGGAGATCAATAACAATTATAGTTGATCGTTTGAAGGGTGAAGCAATCTGTTTCCATTGTTGAAGCTAATTTATGACGAATGGTCTATCTGTAGATGATGAAAGCATATGGATTCCAGTCATTTGTAGTTTCTCGTTATATCTGATATTTTGTTCTTGTTTACTATTTGTGTACTTAAAAGTTCTGCTTTTCTGTATAATATAAATATGTCATTGGTTCTTATGAAATTAGAACTTAGCATGATTGGATTCCATAAGAATTGCTTGTAGCTAGAATTGAAAACTGTTCTCCGAAAAGTCATGTAATCTGTTTGTGTATTGTGTATTTGATGGATTGATCCTTTTAGAATCACTAGACTAGATATGTGAACTCACTACTATAGTTAGGAATTTTCGTCTTTGGACAGGGACTAGAGGTTTCCACTCAACTGGAGTGAAAAGGATGGGTGAAGGACATGCACATGGCCATGATGAGGCTTACTACTTACACGCCAAACACATGTACAACTTGGACAGGATGAAGTACCAGAAAGTGAAGATGCCTCTTGCCGTCTTCACTGCCTTTAGCATTGGTGTTGCTGTTCCCGTTTATGCAGTTATTTTTCAGCAAAAGAAGACTGCATCTGGTTAGCTTCTCATAAAATGCTGTGTCATCTGCAATAATAGGGGTGGCTTTCGGATTCCTTTCTAGTAGAATATTTTGTGGATTTGAGCGGTTTGCGGCTCCCATACATTTTGGTGTTCTTACTCTTTGCATTTGATTGAACTAAGTTTCCAAATCCGCGACAGTCAATAAGATATTGTTTAATGATGGCTTCAGACTATATGCTCTTCTAAAGGTATAGCATCAACATCCCGTGGATTTGAGATGCCTCTTGTGCACATCATTTTTCGCAGTGACAAAATTACATTCTTTTTTTTTTTAGACTGCTCGATAGTAAAATTTCTTTATGCTTTCTTTTTGTTTGGAGTCAAGTTTGCTGCTGTATTTTAGACCGGATATGCACATGAGAGCTTCAAAATGCACCTCCATAAGTTTCGAAATCTGCTACAGGGAATAAGATCTTGTTTAATGATGGCTTATGACTATATCTTCTTTATGCTTTTTTTTTTTTTAAAAAAAAAAAGAAAATTAGGAAATGTACCCTCTTAACTCGCCTTTAAAGGAAGAAAGTACGAGCAAGGATTTTATAATGTGTAACAAATTATGTAAATCTTTATGTTGAGGAGCATTCCTCGAAAATTTCTCTCTCTCTCTCATAATGTGTAACAAATTATGTAAATCTTTATGCTGAGGAGCATTCCTCGAAATTTCCCTCTATCATAGCTAAGCTGTTTAAAGAAATTCAATGGCGTGATAGGCGAAGGTTTAAGTCCGGTAGTTGTATTCTCCTGTTAATGTAACCTTTTTATCGTTATATTTACTTCGCCGATTATAATTTGTGATTTGAGCTAAGTGCATGATTGAAGTTACAATTTAAATTGGAATTAAAACTGAAATAAAGTTACTGTTTAGGAGTGCACATGGGTGATTCAACCTTCCTCTCAATTCAAGTTATGAGTGTTCACTTCACCAATTTCACAATTCCAACCACCACCCCCATTTAAGTTGGGAAATGAAAAAAAAAAAAACGGAAATTAAAAAAAAAGTATACTACCAATTCGCAATAATGTGCGTATAATGTTATGCACAAAAATCCAAAATTGCAGATAATTGAATTTGCAACTATAATCTAACATAACCTATTACAAAACAAATATTTCATAAATGGTCACTGATACGTATTTATTTAGCGATTGTTATTTTCACCATGCGCCTGCCACATAGTTCTCGCTATTTCATCCCTCATAAGGCCCATCTCCCTTCGACTCGCGGTGTTTCTTGGTCTTTCCGTACTCAGATCTGGGTTATGATTTTAATTGACATTCTCATCCACGTTCAGGGGGTCAATTTCACTTACCAGTACCCCATATTGTAAGTATTGATTTATGAAGCTGTCATCATGTTGATACATAGGTACGAAGTTATGTATCACAGCACAAGCAATAGGTATTCTAGCTTGTATCTTCATCGGGTAATTGTTGATTATCTTTAGAATGCGGAACCTCGCTTTCCACACCCCGAACGTCCGCTCGATACAATTCCTAAGCGATGAATGAGTGTAGTTAAATAACTCCCGCTCACTACGAGGTCGACCTCGACGTGCCCTATACTCTTGCAAGTGGTACGTACAACCACGATAAGGAGCTAGGAAACAACTTGTGTTGGCGTAACCGGAGTTTACTAAATAAAATTTACCTACATGGTGGGAACACAAACTGTTTTAGCATACTTGTAACAACTTTTTAAACCCACACAGATTCAAACTCGAACTATTACCCATTTTAGGATTTGTGTGTACCTGGTGGAGGGATAGGGAATTTCTTTTCTCGCGTTTTAAGTGCTGATTCAAGAACTAGTGCGTAGTGCGCGGAACCCTCCCACCCGGCAAGCATATATGTGAACTTCATGTCTAATGAACACACTCCCAAAACATTTTGTGAGTTGAATCCCTTCCTATTTCTCCAGACCTCTACATTTTCTGGCGGCGTTACACATGGAACGTGCGTCCCGTCAAGCGCGCCAACACAGTTCTGCGACAAATAGAATAAACGTTATTATGACTCTCAAAATATTGTGTTGTCATAATGTAAAATACGAAGAAGAAAAAAAAGGAGAGATATGCCTTACATCGAACCAAGGTCTGTACTTGTTCCCACTTGCCTCAATAAGTGGATCGATGCTGTTAAAGTCAGGTGGCTTAATAAAATCATAGCGCAGACGAAATATGGCATTTAACACTACCATGAAGTACTTTGAAATTGTAGCCCCCGAGTGTTGCCATTGATGTTGTGTCTCTTTATTGTTTTCACTTTGACAAACAATTGTCAAGAAAATGATCAATTGCTCATCAACGCTCATATTTCTAGTACTCCTCAATAATTCTTTTGTTCGAGTAACCAACTCAATCACCTAAAGCAATCGATGCCTATCCTAATCTTATTGTATATTACCATCTCGTGTCCATTTAACAAATCACTTAGACGCTGCGTACCTGTGTAGTGGCTATTATTCCTAGGAGTCGGAAGTGGATGTTCCAAGTACGCTGTATAGAATACCGCAGCAACGACTACTCCAAGAATGTAGTCATCATCAGAGTCATATTCGGGTAGACCATTGTTTCCCGCGTTTGATGGTCTGCCACTCCACATTCTGTCTGCCAATACAATTCACAAGATACAAAATAATATTTGAAATTATAAGAATGAACAATGTTATATTACATAATGGTACAGAACCAATAATGCATAACATAAAATCAACGTTTTAAATCAAAGTCTACAACGTTACATCAAACACATTCAGAAACTGAACACGCTATCTAAAGCCAGTGTCAAATTGAAATGAAAAATAATCGTTCCAGATAAGAAACAAAGACACTACATCATAATCAAATGGAAAAAGAAATCACGCTTGAAAAATGAACACTCAAGTTAAATCTCATCACTTCCGGTTCCTCTAAAGGGGCTGGGTGGGGGTGGGAATTGGGGGTTCACGAAGAATGGTGAGAAATTTTGGTAGTTAGGAAGGGGTTGTTGGCCAGTAGGAGTAGACTGTTGGAAAGAAGGTTGTGGTGGGTTAAGGTTAGAGGGTACTTGGGGAAAAAGGAGGCTGCTGTTGTGTGAAGTTTTGGACCGGTGGGCGAAAATGTACAGGTGAACCCATATATGGTGGAGCCTGGTTCATATAATATGGATATTATTACTGCACGTTGGGTCCTGGATTATTTGGTATGGTTTTCAATGTTATCAAAGCGTAAAACAGCCTTTGACTCTCATTCATGCCCAAGAACATATCTTGACAATTAGGGTTCTAATTTATATACTCCATGAACAACACGCTTTGTTCATTGTCTAATAACATCTCACTAATAACTGTCTGACACTTCTGGAAGGTTGATCGCTGGGATTCCACATGCTGAGAAGCACCTGAACTTGTACCTCGACTACTCTGTCGCTGATTCAACGTAGTTGCAATACTTTTTAAAATAAATTTTGCCTCGGGCTCCACTTCTGCTATTGCGCTTCGCTATATGTCGAGAGTTGATAAGTTTAAAGCCCCTCTCATTTTGTTGACAAATGCTTACTCACCTTCCAAATGTTGTGAATTGCCGCCATCAACATCATGCTCCCCTACTAGCGGCTCAGAAACGTCACCTTCCTCATCATTCTCTTCCAAACTCTCTTCAAATGCACCGTGGGCACGCCTACTAGCAAATGCTTTGTAGTAGAGCTCATAGTTCTTGAGGGGATCCTTACGTGCACGCTGCGCCCACTTGTGTGTCTGTTGAACACATAAACAAATAAAGCAATCTCTAGTGGCCATAAAAAAGTATAAAATGAAAAACACAAGATCCATAAGGCAAACTTATGCATTTCCTTGAAGTAGATTATGAAAGTCAAATCAGCATTATCAAGGACGCAGCCCCTAAGGCTCAAGCCCAGCCCCGCAACCCCTAAGGCCCCCGCAAGCCCTAATGCCTGAGCCCCCCATCGCCCCAGCCCCCCTAAGGCTCCGCAGCCCCTAACACCGAAGCCCCATGGCTCCCAGCCCCTAAGGCCCTCGCAAGCCTTAATGCCCGAGCCCCCCAGCCCCCCGCAACCTCTAATACCCCCTGCCCCTAAGGCCCCAGCTCCGCAGCCCCTAACACTGGAGTCCCCTGGCTCCCCAGCCCCTAAGGTCGCCGCATGCCCTAATGCTCAAGCGCCCCAGCCCATAATGCACCCGTAGGCCCTAATGACCGACCTCCTAGCCCCCTTAATGCCCCTTACCCCTAAGGCCTAAGCCCCAGCCCCTATGGCCCAAGCCTTCTGCCCCTGAGGCGTAAGCCCCCTGGCCCTGACCCTTATAATGCTTTCCCACTTTGGGAATTTGAATCATGTTAAATTTCATGAACAAAGAACAATATGACAAAGGAAATTAGGGAGTACATATGCCATATACTAACATCACAGAAATCATTCCAATACTCGTCAGTGCAAGTTGGGGTATTCTTGATTGGATCCCATCTTAGTCTGGTGTTTGTGCGGAGGGGGAGCTCCGTGTTGAATTTTTTCTTCAGCCATTCATTTGCCTCTTTAACGCGCCCTGGAGGAATAGGTGATGAAAACAGTGGGGATAAATCTTTCGCCCATTGTTCTCAATCCGCCGATTCAAGTTGACGACCCCTATTATTTTTATTGTAGTCTGCAAGTTGCTTCAAAAGCGTAACTTTTTGTTTCTCAGACCAATAGAAGGGCATGTCATCCTCACTCTATCGCGGCATCTAATACATACTGTAACGCCATCTAGAATTAAACATGTTTAATTATGCTAAAATGTGGATTATTAGTGTGCCTAATTTGATTTTCATAATTAATCAATGGACTTTAAGTTATTTTCAGTATTTATAATTTCACCCCAAAGATTTTTGGAAAACACACTTAAATTTAATACATTTTCCTTTTTTTTCCATTTTTCTTTTTCCTTTTCTTTTCTTTTTCTTTTTCTTTTTTTCTTTTCTTTTTTTCCTTTTCCCCATTTCCTTCCCGTGCGCCCAGCCCCCCATTCTCTTTGTTTTCTTTTTTTCTTTTTTTTCTTCTTCTTCCTTCCCTGGTTCTCCCACGCACAGCCATCTCTCTCTCTTTCTCCATTTTCTTCCACCGCCGGCCACCTCCTTCTTCGGGCTTCCTCCCGCCGGCGTCCTCTTTCTCTCCCTTGCTCTCTCTCTCCGGGTTTCTCTCTCCCTCTCTCTCTCTCGGTAGTTTGGCCGAGAATCACCAAAAAAAAAAAACAGAAAAATTGAGGGAGACAAAGCACAAGCAACTGATTTGAGGTAAAACCCTTTGAAACCCACTCTTTGATTCAAATTTTAAGCTTGAA